AACTCCATGCGATTTACTATGCGAGTAGAACCTTGGATTCTGCCCAGATGAACTACGCCACTACAGAAAAAGAATTGCTAGCAGTTGTCTTTGCGCTTGACAAATTCCGCTCTTACCTAGTTGGAGCGAAAATAATCATTTACACAGACCACGCTGCTATCCGATATCTGTTAACTAAGAAGGATGCTAAGCCAAGACTCCTAAGATGGATTTTACTTCTACAAGAGTTTGATCTAGAAATAAAAGATAAAAAAGGTACTGAAAACGTCGTAGCGGACCATTTATCTAGAATAGAAGGTATTAAACCCGAACAAGTGCCGATTAACGATGATTTTCCGTATGAACAGCTGATAGCACAAATAGGAAGCGACCTAGCGCAGTTAGATATAAATGAACCAGAACCCGTGGAAATAATACAGACAACTGTAGGACTGCCATGGTACGCTGACATTGTCAACTACCTAGCCGCAGGAGCCCTTCCACTCGATCTAACCTATCAGCAGAAAAAGAAGTTCTTTCATAACCTAAAACAGTACTATTGGGATGAACCATTATTGTTCAAACGAGGACCGGATGGAATCTTTCGCCGATGTATTCCCGAAGAAGAAATAGAAGATGTCATTGCCCAATGTCATTCATCTCCTTATGGTGGACATGCGAGCACTTCCAAGACTTGTGCAAAAATCTTGCAAGCCGGCTTATACTGGCCTAATCTATGGAAGGATGTCCACATCGCTGTTATAAGTTGCGATCGGTGTCAACGCACCGGCAATATTTCAAGAAGAGATGAAATGCCCCAAAAGGGAATTTTGGAAGTGGAAATCTTCGACGTCTGGGGAATAGATTTCATGGGACCATTCCCATCATCTTTCGGTAATAATTACATACTCGTAGCTGTTGATTATGTCTCGAAATGGATTGAAGCCATAGCTTCTCCTACAAATGATGCACGAGTAGTAATAAAGCTTTTCAAAAACATAATCTTTCCCAGATTTGGTGTACCTCGACTCGTCATAAGTGACGGTGGCTCACACTTCATTTCAAAAATCTTTGACAAATTACTATCTAAGTATGGAGTGAGACACCGTGTGGCTACACCATATCACCCACAAACAAGTGGACAGGTCGAAGTCTCAAACCGAGAGATAAAACAAATCTTAGAAAAGACTGTCGCCATATCTCGGAAATATTGGTCATCTAAACTTAATGAAGCTCTATGGGCTTATAGGACCGCTTACAAGACTCCCATAGGTACTACACCTTTCAAACTAGTTTATGGAAAATCTTGTCACCTCCCAGTAGAACTAGAACACAAGGCTTATTGGGCGATCAAAACTCTCAATATGAACTATAGTGCTGCAGGAGAAAAGCGAATCCTAGACATTAACGAATTAGAAGAATTAAGGTTAGATGCATATGAAAATGCTAAGCTATATAAGGAAAGAACCAAGCGATGGCATGATAAACGCCTATCTAAGAAAGAATTCAGTGTGGGAGACGTTGTACTCCTCTTTAATTCAAGACTTAGGCTCTTTCCTGGAAAATTAAAGTCTAGATGGTCGGGACCCTTTGATATAACTAAAGTATTCCCAAGTGGAGCAATAGAAATCAAGGGTAGGAACAATGAACCATTCATTGTAAACAGACAGCGCCTAAAACATTATCATAAAGTCGAAAATAGAGACTATACGAATGATCTAAAACTTTTGAAATTGTCCACTAATTCCCCTGATTAGTCTAAACCTCGGCGTTACGTCAGGCTTTTGACGATAAAAACAGCGCTTAGTGGGAGGCAACCCATTTTCTTAGTTACCTATTTTAAACTATTCTTTTCTTTTTGAGCATTTCTTAATTATCGTTACTACTATTTGTTTAAATTGTTTTGTTAGTTTTATTTTACATTACTATTATAGCCATTACATTTTAGCATTTCATTTTCTTATTTTTATCCTAAATCACTTTTTACAGATTTTCTAAAGTCTTTTCCACTGAATTGTTTCCACCGTATTTTCACTGACTATGGCTAACCAACCTATTAACTATATAGAAACCCAATTTAGAGGTAGGAACCAAAGAATAAAGTTCGAAGAGTTATCACAGAGGCAAATGGATTTGACCCTGTACCCAAATGAAAAGACTATGGAAACCTTAGGTATACATGAGAGCATGATATACCTGTTCAACCGACTCGGATGGGAGAATGCAATGATCCAACACAAGTTTGCAACTTACCGAGAGCTCACCCTTGAGTTCCTTAGTTCCCTACTTTACCTACCTGAGCGCGGTTTTGGTTCTAGGAAAGGATTCATTAGTTTCCGCCTATTCGGAATAGAATACGACTTTAACCATAAAGAACTAGCTGACCTGTTAGGATTCCCTAGTGGACCTTTTGCCTTTACTACCACACAGGTAGAATTGATGGATGTGGAGCTAGATTTCTTTTGGGGAACTCTGACCGGAAACTACCACCCTGAACCAAATGACATGAACAATGATGAGATCCATAACCCTGCTCTTCGTTACTTCCACAAATTCCTCGCCCATACCTTCTTTGGAAAAGAAGAAAACATTACCGGAGTCTCTAAGGATGAATTATTTATTATGTCATGTTTCAATACTGGACAGTGTGTTAATGGTGTCCCTTTCATGATGCAAACCTTCACCCGCATCCAAGATGAACCTGAATTACCTATAGTGGTAGGAGGTCTTGTAACCATGATTGCTGACGCCTTAGGACTTAGGTACCAACTGGACAGGTGCACCCGTCTGGGAACCGTACGCCTGATGAATCTTAAATTCTGCTTCAATAGACATATTATAAGGAATTTAGGACGCCCACCTTTTGAGTACCTGATCCGGAACACAGTAGTCACCCTGTTCACATTGCCCAATCATGCAAAAGTAAGTGTTCATAATAAGGATAATTGGCTTTATGAGTTAAACCCACCTGATTATCCAGCCACTCCTGAAACACCTCAGTCTCACAGGATAACAGATGATATAATGACCGCTGTTGAAACTGACCCCGAGACACCTCCTGGATACCATGACATTGACCCAACTGACAAAGTTCATGAAACCCCTGGAGCGAATCACGGAGAGTACGCTAACAACTTGCAGAACATCATGCACACTCTCAATGCCTATCAAGCTGACATTAATCTATTCAGAGAAGACATTAAGAGTATGCGATTGGACATCGTGGGATTGACTGACATGGCCTGCGAACAATTCTATCATCTGGACTCCGCCATCGAAGACCTGAAGAAACGCCTTTGAACCGGCTATCAGTGATTTAGTTTACTAATTCTTTTCTCATTATTTTTTATCATTATTTTCATTTCCAGTTAAATTTATCTTTCGCAACGATTTCATAACATAATTTGAGTTTATGTAATTTCAGTTTTTCTTTATGCCGTGCATTTTTTATTTCAATTGATTCTTCATTTTAGCAGCTTAAATAATTTTTCTATTTCTTTTCTATACACTGTGTGACCATATACTGTATGACTGCACTATTTTGTCTTAAGTTCGTATACTACTGTGTCGCAAATGCTATATACTATGGTGTGTGTTCATATAAGTGCTACTAAATAAAATGAATTATTATTAATTTAAAAATAACGTGAGACAATGTGCTTTTCTGGGAATTATTCAGCACCACACAGCCTCACGGTCGTCACGCCCCACTTACGATCGTGACATGCTCATTTAGCGCGTCACGACCGTCACGATCATGTCACGACCGTGACGACCTCTATTACAGAGATCGTGAGAAACAGAACTGTTTCTCATCGTGTCCACTCTTCTTCTCCCTCCATAACCTATCTAAAACACTCCCCACTCATTCCCAAACCGCCAAAACCTCTCCACTACCCCATTAATCCACCCTTACCAGTAACCATTTCAATTCCACTGTCCCGTATTTAACCCGAACACCAACCTCCCTCATTCTACCACTCTTCTTCCAAAACTTCACAAAAAATCCTTCCACCCTCTCTCTCTTCACATTTGCATGTTATGGATTCTATCATTTTCAGAGAAGGAGAAGCCGGAGAAACCCAACGAGACCGTTTCGTCCGCTTCCAGAACCGCGGTCTGCAACCCACCCGGTACATTTCCACCGACTGTCTGCAAGAACTCGGTATGCTGTCCAGCGTTCAAAGCCTATTGCAGAAGGTTGGCCTGTGGGACCTCTGTCGCCAGCCACAGCCTACTTTCGAACTTCTGACGCTGGAGTTCCTCAGCTCTTACAGCTACATCACCTCTCATGGTTCTCAGAGTCAGCTTACCGGCATCGTAACATTCAGACTGCTTGGCCGGGAGTTCAACCTCACACAAACCAGGATTGCCGAGCTGTTAGGTTTCGACCACAGCACCGAAGCCCACCGTCGCGTGCCCGATAACTTCAGTGAACAAGCATTCACACTGTGGCGCGACCTTACCAACACCCGTGCGACCACCTTCCAGAGCCTCAACGCCACACACATCCACAACCCGGCTATCCGCTACTTTCACCGGGTCCTCTGCAACACCATCTTTGCTAGAGAGAGCAACCACAAGCTCAACTCAAAGGAGCTCCTGTTTTTGTACTGTGCCCTTCATGACGAGCCAATCAACGCTGCCCCCTTTATGCTCTACCACATCCAGGCCATCGCGCACCGAGGCTCATCCCCGTTCTTCATTGGAGGCATTGTCACCACCCTCGCCATTCAGCTGGGGCTTGGTGACGCGCTCGCTGATCTGCCGCACCTCGCCGATCATTATCAAATTATAGAAACATCACCTCGCTACCCGTTACAATTGGCAATTTGGTGCAGTTGCGCTATCTAAATCTCTCTAACACGAATATCGCAAGCTTGCCTGACACCATATGCAACCTCTACTACTTGCAAACCTTGATTTTATCTTGCTGCTCAGAACTCACAGAATTGCCGGAACATGTTGGAAAATTAATAAATTTGCGTCATCTTTATATTGATAGGACAAGCATAATAGAGATGCCGAAGCAAATTGCTGAACTGGAAAACCTTCAAACTCTAAATGTTTTTGTAGTAGGCAAGAAAAATATTGGTTTAAGTGTTAGAGAGCTTGGGAAGTTTCCTAAGCTACGGGGAAAAGTAGTCATCAAGAACCTGCAAAATGTCATTGATGTCATGGAGGCAAGTGATACCAACTTGAAGAGCAAAGAACATATTGAGGAATTGACGCTACAGTGGGGCGAGGAAACTGATGACACACTTAATGAAAGAAATGTGCTTGATATGTTACAACCATCTGCAAACCTAGAGGAACTGAGCATTATATCATATGGTGGGACAAGTTTTCCAAGTTGGTTGGGAGATCCTTCGTTTTCTAACATGGTGTTCCTTAGCATTAGTAATTGTGTGAATTGCATGACACTTCCACCACTAGGGGAGCTACCTTCTCTCAAAATTTTGAGGATTCACAATATGCCAATTTTGGAGACAATTGGGCAGCAGTTCTATGGCATGGCAGCAGGAGGTACCAATTCTTCGTTCCAACCATTTCCTTCCCTTGAGAAGCTTATAATTGAGAAAATGTCAAATTGGAAAGAATGGCATCCTTTTCAAGGCGAAGTGTTTCCTTTTCTCCGTCTTAAAACTCTGGAGTTATCTAAGTGTCCTGAACTGAGGGGACATCTGCCTAGTCAACTTCCTTCCATAGAAGAGATTAAAATATATCATTGTGATCATCTCTTGGCAACACCACCTTCTCAGCACTGGCTTTCCTTTATAAAAAAGCTTGATATTACAGGAGATTTGAATTCAGAAAGCAATACTGAAAGAACCCAATGCTCATTGCTTGAGAGTGATTCTCCATGTCTTGTGCAAGGTATAGTCATAAGGAACTGTCATATGCTAAAATCTGTACCTAAAATGATTATTAACAGCACCTGTCTTCGGCACTTGACTCTCTATGGTATTAATTCTCTCAATGTGTTTCCAACAAATGGTTTACTCACTTCATTGCAATCACTAATTATTGACAAATGTGAGAATTTAACATTCCTACCTCTTGAAAAGTGGAGCAGTTACACATCACTTATGTCTCTTAATTTATGGAGAAGCTGCAATGCACTTACCTCCTTCCCATTGAACTGTTTTCCTATGCTCCAAAATCTTTCCATCCGCGAATGTAGAAGTTTGGAATCTATTTTTATTTCAGAAACTTCTTCTTGTAGCTCGTCAACCCTCCAATCTTTTTATGTCAGTGAGTGCGAGGCCCTTAGGTCACTACCTCAACGGATGGAAACCCTGACCTCTCTTGAAACTATGTATCTCAGGAATCTTCCAAATTTGAATTTATCATTATGTGAAGGAGCTTTCCTACCTCCCAATTTACAATCAATTCATATTGATTCTGTGAGAATAAAAAAGCCAGTAACAGAGTGGGGTCTCCAAGGCCTTACTGTTTGTTCATCAATGTTAATCGAAGGTGAGGATAATGTGAACATGTTACTCAAAGAGCCGTTGTTGCCAATTTCCCTTGTGTTTCTACATATAAAAAGTCTCTCTGAAATGAAATCCTTAGAAGGAAATGGACTTGGACACCTCTCCTCTCTAGAACGCCTTGATATTTCGGATTCTCCAGGGCTTGTGTCATTGCCAGAAAAAGCCTTTCCCTCCATGCTGAAAACACTTTATTTCAGGAATTGTCCAAGACTAGAGTCATTGCCAGAAGACCGCCTCCCTTCCTCTCTTGAGGATCTGATCATCATACGTTGCCCTTTGTTAGAAGAAAGGTATAAACGGAACGAACATTGGTCAAAAATTGCCCACGTCCCGGTCATAAAAATAAATAACCAAGTCACAATATGAGCCATGACCATTGAGAAGCCAAGAGAATGAAGAATTCCCATCATGTTTTAGGTATGAATGTTACTTTTTGTTTGTTTTATGTCAAAATTATTATTATTTCTGATGAATGCAGTGCTTAATTTTATGTTAATGTATTCTCTTTCTATCTTAATCATGTGAAGACATTAATGTGTTAGTATATTATTCAATGTATCTTTTGAACTATTATTACACTCACTGTTGCTTTTAACGTGTGCGAGACATTTTAGTTCATTCATGATACTCTCTACGAAATTGAAGTTTAAGCGTGTGTATTATAATCATTATGCTAATAAATTAAGCATGGACAAGTTCGAATTAAATAAATTAAGGTTGAAGTTGAAGATGAAGAAGGTAACAAGCTTCTTAAATTTTTTAGAAAAATTAATAGTATATATTTTTAAATGCATATAATGAATAATATTTTCATGACACAAAACGGAAAAACGGAAGAAAATGTATGGGCAGAAACGATGATGATTATAAATTTTAATAAGTATCACAATCAAATTATATAAATATTTGAAAAAAAGTTATATAAATTCTTATGCATGTTGATGATAATATATATTTAAAAAGTTAAATATTAAAAAATAAAATATGATATTTAAAAATTATAATTGTTTTTTACGTGTCTTTATATTTTAAAAGTGTTGTAAGATATTTTCATTTTCAACACTATCAAATATATCACTCTTTATGTATGTTACAAAGCAATCATTAAAAATTTCATCATTCATAGGATTGCGCAGTTGGTTCTTCATAAAATTTATAGCTAAGAAATTTCTTTCAACCGTTGTTGTAGTCACAGAAAAAAGTAATGTCAACTTCAAAAGTAAGTACACAATTAGATAAACAATGTGTTTTTTAGTCTACACCATCATTCTTGAAAGATCACTAATTTCCTTTAAATTAGAAAATTGCTCACTAGAACAAACATTCATGATGTAGTTTTCAAGTTGACTGCCGAATCCCATAAGCTCTACTAAAGAAAATTCAGACAGATAAAATCGAGCTAGATTAATCAATTCTTTCTTGTCAAACGCAACAAATGAATTCCATGGACTTAAACTTGCTATGTAACACCCTTTTCTACCCCAAAAATATAATGGCAAATCACTCATATTTACACTACGCCAGAAATCACTTTTAGCAGCGCATAGAAAGACAGCGCTTTATACAAAAGCGCTGCTAAAGGGTCAGTAAAAAAAAAAAGAAAAAAAGCGCCTACCAAAGACAGCGCTTTTAAAAAAGCGCTGCTAAATGGTGGGCCTAAGAAAGCGCTTTTAAAAAGCGCTACTAGAGGGGGGGCCTACGAAAGCGCTTATCAAAAGCGCTGCTAAAGGGGGACCCTTAGAAAGCGCTTTTTATATAAAGCGCTGCTATATGGAATTGATAAGGCACCCTATGAAAGCGCTTTTAAAAGCGCTGCTAAAGGCCTTTAAAAGCGCTGCTATAGATATTCATATTATAGTTTTAAAATACCCTCCAGAATTTTAATAGAATCAGAACAATCACGCAACACATTTCTTCTTTCTCTGGCGAACGAAAACGAACGAACGAACCACTGTTCATCGTCCGACCATCAACTTCTTCCGTCCGATCATCCTTCCGACCATCACCGACCGTTCACCGTCCGTTTTTAAGTTCATCCATCCGTCTGCATTGCCGGTCCACCATTGTTACGGTACGTGAAGCTTTACTCTGCTTTTCTTGTTTTTTATCTTTTCACCATTGTTGTTCTGATGATATAGATGGTTTTTATCTTTTCAATGATGGTTTTTGTTGTTGTTGTTGTGTTATTTGTTGTTGTGTTAATATGATATATGAGATATATATGATATTGTTGTTGTTGTTGATGTAAAATAGTTTATATAGATGGTTTGTATTTGATATAGTTTATATTTGATATAGATGGTTTGTGTTATAGTTTATATTTGATATAGATGGTTTATATTGTGTTATATAGATGGTTTGTATTTGTTATAGTTGATATAGATGGTTTATATTTGTGTTATATAGATGGTTTGTGTTATAGTTTATATTTGATATAGATGGTTTATATTTGTTATAGTTTATATAGATGGTTTGTATTTGATATAGTTTATATTTGATATAGATGGTTTATATTGTGTTATATAGATGGTTTGTGTTATAGTTTATATTTGATATAGATGGTTTATATTTGTTATAGTTTATATAGATGGTTTGTATTTGATATAATTTATATTTGATATAGATGGTTTGTGTTATAGTTTATATTTGATATAGATGATTTATATTTGATATAGATGGTTTATAGATGGTTTGTTATAGTTTATATTTGATATAGTTAATATGATATATGATATATATGATATTGTGTTATAGTTTATATTTGATATAGATGGTTTGTTGTTGTTGTTGTTTAATATGACATTTATTGTTATTGTTGTTGATATTTGTTGTTGTTGTTGTTATTCTGAATTACAGGTATATTATGGCCAGCAACGAGGAAACATCACATGATGGAAAAGAAACACCCAAAGACGTTGAAGGCGAAATTAAAAGAGGCATAACGATAATGAAAAGTATCATCCGTGCGAGAGATAGAGGTGTAAAGTACGATGTCCATTGGAATGAAAGAGATCAGTTGGTTGAGCCTAATGGTGCGCTGCTGACAAGTTATATTGGAGCAGTTGTACGTTCGCAAGGTGCCCAAAAAGAGCATTTGTTCCTCAATTTAGGTCGTGCCTTCAAACATATGTAGGGACAACAGACGTGCCTGAGGGCGGCATCCGTCTAATACATATGGATCAAGGTATTTTCGGTTTTGAATATTCCGAAACACTTGCTAAGGAGGATTTCGACCAGGTTTTCAAACATTTAGAATTGGGCGTCGGGGTTATGCATTCCTACATCAGGTACTTCGATCCATTTTAATTAGATAATTGAACATTTTAAAATTCGCTCGTTTAACTGAATAATCTAATGTTGATTATATTTTTTTAGGCGCTTGTATGACAAGTTGTTGGTCCCCGCTGATTTGACTTCAGTATTCGCATTCTTATCTGCTAGCAGTGTCAACTCACGGGCAATAGACCAGACACCAGAAGCAGTCAAAGAGTACACAGTCCAGAGATTTATGGGTGCGAATACGGAGAAGTTGTTTATGTTGCCATATAATACTGGCCATGGGTTAGTTTTTATTCTAAATTCATTTATTATAATTGTTCGATTTTTGCCATATTATATAACATTTCCGTCTAAACTGTTGTCTTATTTTATAGTGGTCACTGGTTGTTGGTCGCAATTAATCCGATTAAAGAAATAGTGTATTATATAGATTCATTGGATGGCGATACAAACAAATATGAAAATCTGAAGAACATGGTTGATACGTAAGTGATGATGTATAGTGTTCTGAATAATTATATATGTTTATTTATTATATGACATTGTTCTAAATATGTGTTTATATTATGTTAGAGTTATACAAATATACAGAGCACAGAGAGATGCAACAGTGCCAAAAAGCAGGGCTAGCAACATCAACTGGATCAGAGTGGAGGTATATTTTCCCATGTTTGACTGTTATAGTGGTTCTACTTATAAAACTATTTAAACTATATATCCTGATAAATGTTCGTTCGCTTTTTTCCTAATACAGTGTCCTCGTCAGCGTGGTGGGATTGACTGCGGATATTTTGTACTGCGCTTTATGAAGGAAATCATTCTTTCTGGTCAATTAGAGATTCCAATCATGGTATGGATCAATTCATGAGTTATATGATTCATTTTGATAATTAACTAATATTTCATCTGAGTAATTAGTATTAAATTGTGCTTGTTCTGTTATATTATGTAGTATTTTGATGAATTCAGATGCGCTACGTACTCGAAAGTAAAATTGGAAGAAATTAAGGAAGAATGGTGTCAATTTATGATTGAGTTAAGAATTCTATAATGTATATTGGATTTGTAATTATGTGTAAATTGTATATTGTATATTGTATATTGTATATTGTATAATGTACAATGTTTAAATTATGTGTAAATTATACTTGAGTTAATTATGTGTAAATTGCAAAGTGTTATTGTATAATGTACAATGTTTAGTTATATTGTGTTGAATTAAAGGCCAAGTGTTGAATTACAATGTTTAAAGGCCAAGTTATGTTTAAAGCCTGAATTATAAGCAGGGAATTTAATTGTTATAAGCAGGTTTGTCTAAAAATATATAAAAAATGTGATTTTACAAAAAAAAAAATTTAAAAACGTGAAGTATAGACAGCGTTTTTACAAGAAAGCGCTGCTAAAGGGAGAAAAATAGACATAAAAAAGCGCTGCTATAGGTTAGGAAAGGAGGGGTCTAAGAAAGCGCTTTAAAAAAGCGCTGCTAAAAGGGATGCCTTTAGCAGCGCTTTTTCCACAAAAAAAAGCGCTGCCTTTACCTTTAGCAGCGCCACTTTAGGCAGCGCTTTAAAGCGCTGCTAAAGGTCAAAAAAAGCGCTGCTAAAGGCCATTTTTGGCATAGTGTTATCAGAGTAAAATATTAAATGCAATAAAATCATCTCAAAATGGCGCACATTTCTCAAAAATTCAAATATAGTCAATGCTCCGTAAACAACGGGTTTTCCCAAAATTACTCAAAATATTACTCAAAAGATAGCGGAACTCAAAAAGTCAATAATCCAAAGTTTTTCTTGCGCCGCAAGGCAATCAACATAACAAAAACTCAATAAAATATAATTTGACTCAAAGACCCCAACCCGATGTTACACTATCAGAGCAAGACCCTCTAAGTCGACCATAATGGCCAACGACCCAAAAGCTTTAAAAAGTCCTCGATGACATCCACAACTAAACCTAGTCATCTGCACGTTACCCACGTGGAGGCAACATTCAAACAGGCAGGGTGAGTAAAACGATTCATAATAATCAATATATAAAATTGTGTCATTTTCACATCTAACATCATCAGAATCATCACGGAACATCAA